CAAAAGTCTCGTTTTAAAGGGGTAACACAATTCAGGATATCCGGCTAGATAACTTAACGACCTGGAGTACGCAGATGATATTGTCCTGGTGAGTAGGACGGGAAGCGAACTGTGTTACTTTCACGGTTTTCGTATGCACTGCATCTGCGAAAGCCGGATTCTTTCTTAACGTCCGGAAGTCAAGAGTTTTGAGGAACCCCTCCGGTACAGCCAGCAGCTAACTTACAAGTAGAACAGGGAAGTAAAGCCCTTTAGGAAGTTGACAAGGTTGTGCATCTCGATTCCCTCATCTCCAGCGATGTACTATCGGACTAACCTCGAGTAATTTTGGAAATCTCATCAGTATCTGATTGACGAAAAGTTAGTCTTCCCACGAAAATCCACCTGTATCTTGCCTCTGTTCCTTCAGTGTTGTTATACGGCATGGAGACAGTTGTTTACCAAAGGAGCAAGAACAGTTAAACTACATACAACAGCTTTGGCTTCGACACATAATGAGGGTTAAATCTTACGCTACATAAGGAATGACTATTCTTTTTTGGGCTTAGTTGATCTCACTAGATGTGGAGATTACGAAAAGGAAGTTGGCCATATTAGACAAGCTGGCATGCACCATTTGTTCTAGCCGGAGAGTTTCTAGTGTGGGAGCCGAAACACGGCAGACTTCAACCAGGTGGCCAGAGTGCAACAGAGAGGAACAAGGTAGGGGCAGATTTACTTTTGTAGAGGAATGTTTTCCTCTGCGATGCAGGAACCGGTGCCTTACTGCAAAGATGTTGAAAAGCTGCCAGTACAGCGGACGTCACAAACCAAAGACGTTCTGCTTATGCAAACTGCGCAAGATGATGATCTCAACGTAAACAATTGCTTTATTCTTAGTGATCACTGTGGTTCTGATGTAACCGCTTGGCAGTGATTACAACAAACACGACGAGTGCATGTGACTACTAGTTAAAGATAAAACGGCTGTCAATGTTCAGCAGTGAACTATGGGCTATGTTAGTAATTTGGAACAGCTGTCACATCAGCGCAATAAGCAGAGGCACAGCGAGTGATGTGTTTCGGCTGTCGATCTTCACGGCCGTTTGCTAACCTCAGTAGTAAGTCAGTTAAATCTAAGATGGTAAGGATGTAAGCAAAAGATGGTCTGCTACGTTCTGAGGAGCACAGTCCTTCTCATTTTTAATTTTTTTGATCCGTACGATTACCTATCACACTGTTATCATAAGCACGACATGACACACTGCTGCAGATTAACAGAGATCAACAGTACTTGAGGTTGCGCCAAATGACGAATTTTTTTTTAAGGTTATCTGAAATCGTTCTGAAGGAGAACGGGTAAGAAGATGAGGAATAAGGTAATTTATATTTAAGTCCAAACGTTCGTGGTGAAATAGATTTGTAGGTGATAGGTCTTCCGATATTTAAAATAGACTTGTATCTTGTAGTAACATCATTTTTTTTACGTTTCGATAACTATCTGAGTTTCATACCTATTGAGGTGAACACTTAATTAAGATGAGTTTTAGAAATCAGAGTCTTATGACTTGGTATAGTTTAGGATGAGTTTCTTAAAACTCGACGTTGCTGCAGACTCCAAAAACATTATTGAAAAATTGGTATTTCTAACAAGAGGGACATTGTCCATCTTCAGGATGACAAGTAATCGAACCGTGTTTTCCCTGATGGACAATTCGAATGTTATTCGAAAATTGAAAAGTTTGACGTTTATTTGTATTTTGCTTCTGATCGACACTTTTATACTGTTTTGTGTCTCTGATGAAGAATGGTATCATTTCTTGATTCCATTGAAGCTGTCAAACTTTAAATTTAATCCCTTTGTTTATGTGTAGCGACTTTGTTTTTGCCTGAACTGTTCAGCTAAAGCCTCCTCGTCTTATCCGTTTGCGGTAATTTCTCGGTGTAAACCTTCCAAGACGAGCTGATGATTGATTAATTAATTAAGGTAGATTCATTTGCTCTTTCTCTGTTAAACGTTTTACAGATTTATAAGATATTGTAATAAGTTGTGAAGTGTAATTAATTTCATATCGCTGTTATGTGATCTGTTTGTTGTAGGGTGTGTTCAACGCGACTCAGTCGGCCACGATTGGCGTCGATTTCATGATCAAGTCGATGATCGTCGGTAACGACAAGGTGAAGTTACAGATCTGGGATACGGCTGGCCAGGAGCGCTTCCGATCCATCACGCAGAGCTACTATCGTTCCGCGCATGCCATCATCTTGGTCTACGACGTTGCCAGCCAACCGACGTTCGACTTTCTGCCAGACTGGTTGGCCGAGATCGAGCAATACGCTAACCAGAATGTGTTGAAGATTCTTGTAGGTGAGTAACTTCACTTCACGTCGTTAACTTATATTCCTGCACGGATAAGGTAAAGTAAGCGAAACATACTTTATTCTCTGGCAGATAAAATGTCTGTTTGTTTGTTTTGTTTCCGACGATGCGAAGTTCTGTTTTGTTTAAGTATGATATCGGCAGTCACGGTACTGTATTGATTTTCAAGGGTAAACATTCATTCCAGACATGGGCGTTCAGTGAGTTCATAATATCCGTTACACAGTACAGGAAATAAGTTTGATCGCCTGACGGATT